TCTATAATTTGTGATATGTGTAATAGATTGAAATAATTGTGAGGTCAAGGGAACTCACTCTTCTGTATTAGTATTATATTTATATTGTTATCTTGAGTGATGTCCCTTACATGTTGTTATCTATAAATAGTTCTCTCTCGCCACTTCCTTCTCTCTCTCTTTGCATCATGGCTGTCTGTAAATAAAAGGCTGTTAACACCAATGTGGCTCCTCGTCAATCTATTACATTTTGGCGACGAAGGATAAACATCTACTAGAAAGAGCACCTACTTACGCAAAAAAGAGGTTTGCTAGAGCTTATTAGCTAATTATTTCTAGAATAATGGCGCTGTATGGCCAAATAAAAGAATTTGATGCGAATGATGAAATCATTCAAGATTACCTAGATAGGTTAAGCTTTTACCTAGAAGCTAACAACGTGACGATAGAAGCCAAAAAGAGAGCTGTTTTGTTAACAGTCATAGGGCCTCAACAATTTAGGCTACTAAAAGACTTATGCGCACCAGCTAGTCTAAATACCAAGAGCTTTAACGAGCTGAGCAAATTGCTAACAGACCACCATGCGCCTGTACCATCAAAGTTTCTATGTAGAGCTAGATTTGACAGTAGGACTCGTCAACCAAACGAGTCAATATCAGAATATGTTGCTGCTCTACGTCATTTAAGTAGATTCTGTGAATTCGGAGACACGCTGTCTGACAGATTATGTGAAAAGTTTGTGACAGGTGTAAACAGCCCTGATATTCAAAGAAAGTTGCTGCTCGAGTCAGATCTAAAATTGGAAAAAGCAATACAACTTGCAATGTCATTCCAGCAGTCATCAGATGCGGCGAGATCTTTAGCACCTTCAGAGATCCATGCAGTAAACAGCAGGTTAGTCAATAAACATCAACCCCATCAGAGCATTCCAACTTATGCTAAACAGCCTGCTCGTTCAAATCCTAGATCTAAATCTAGTAAAAATTATCAAAAATGTCATCGATGCAAGGGTCCCCATGCATCTCATCGGTGCAAGTTCAAGTCTGCAACTTGTTATAAGTGCAGTAAGCAAGGTCACATTGCCAAGGCCTGCTTTGCAAAGTCTTCGTCTGTTGCTAAATCTAGCCAGTCAAGACAGTACCGCAACCAAAGGCAGCACTATGTTAACTCTCACCAAGACTACCTAACCCAACCAATGAACCACTCTACCTGTGAAAATGCTCAAACTGATTCGCAGCCGGATTTCAACCTATTCTCTGTGAAATCAATAAGTCATGCTCCCATCAATGTACAAGTTAATATCAACGGTAAGAGCATCAGCTTCCAACTTGACACTGGAGCATCTCTAACAGTCATAACAAAGAAAGATTTTGACGCTGTCACAGGAGGATCAGTGTCTCTACAGCCATGTCACAAGTGTCTAACAACATACACTGGTGACAATGTTCCGGTAATAGGAGAGTGTATGGTTCATGTAAGTTATAATGGTCAAAGTGTTAAACTTCCTCTTCTTGTGGTTGAAGGAAATGGACCGCCATTACTAGGTAGGAACTGGTTAAGTGATCTTAAGTTAAATTGGGAGAGTATTTGTTCATTGAAGAATGTAAAAGAATCTAGTCTTACTTCACTAGATAAAGTTATATCTGAAAATAAATGTGTTTTTGGTAATCCTGGATTACTAAATGATAGAACAGTGAAGTTAAGCATTAAAGACACAAATCCAAGATACTGCAAAGCTAGAGTTCCACCTTATGCAATGAGGAATAAAATTGAAAATGAGCTAAGTAGATTGGAATCTAATGGCATTATAAAGAAGGTAGACTATTCCGATTGGGCGACACCCATTGTGCCAGTGTTAAAGAAGGATGGTTCTATAAGAATTTGTGGAGATTATAAAACTACACTGAATAAGCAAATAGAGCTAAATAGGTACCCTATACCTAACATTGAGGAAATCTCTTTGAATTTGGCAGGAGGAGACAAATTCACTGAATTAGACTTTAGTCATGCTTACACTCAACTAGAACTGCATCCAGATTCAAAAGTCTATACGACAATAAACACACATAAAGGACTCTACCAATATGAAAGACTATGTTTTGGCATATCATCTAGCCCTGGAATTTTCCAAGCTGTCATGGACAGTATTTTTAAGGACATTCCAAATGTTTGTGTGTACTTTGACAATGTGTACATAACTGGTAAGAATGACACTGAACATCTTAAAACACTTGATAAAGTATTGAAAATTGTTGGTGAAAAAGGTTTAAAGATAAACAAAGATAAATGTCAATTCATGCTGACAGAAATTAGTTTTCTTGGTTATATATTAAGCAAGCAAGGCATCAGACCTCAACCTGAGAAAACAAAAGCCATTAAAGAAGCACCCAAACCTGAAAATAGCCAACAACTAAGAGCTTTTTTGGGCTTGATAAATTACTATGCAAAGTTCATAGGAAATCTGTCTGGTAAACTATCACCACTGTACAAGCTGCTACAGAAAAATGCAACTTGGCACTGGGGTAAACAACAAGAAGCTGCTTTTAATACAGCAAAAGAGGCTTTGTCTGCTGACACCTTACTAACTCACTATGACCCAGGGAAAAGACTTATATTAACATGTGATGCTTCACCAGATGGTGTAGGAGCAGTCTTGTCCCACATGGATGAGAAGGGTGACAGACCCATTGCTTTTGCCAGTAGATCTTTGAACCAGGCTGAGAAAAATTATTCTCAGTTAGATAGGGAAGGCTTAGGCATCATTTTTGGTGTTAAGAAATTTCATAAGTTTCTGTTTGGTAGGAAGTTCACTATCTTTACAGATCATAAACCATTGCTAGGGTTATTTGGAGAAAACAAAACCCTACCTGAGCATGCCTCACCAAGAATTCAAAGATGGGCTATCACACTAACTGCATACAATTATGAATTGAAATACAAACCTGGATCTGAGAATAGTGCAGATAGTCTTAGTAGATTACCTTTAAAAAACCAAAGCCTGAGCTATGTACCAGAAGATGTATTTGTTCTCTTCACTATCATGGATAACTCCAATATAAATGTGAATGATATTAAGAGAGAAACACAAAAAGATGAGTGCTTAATAAAAGTATATGAGTACTGTATGAATGGTTGGCCTGAAGAGTCTGTGAATGATGACTTAAGGCCATATAAAATAAGAAATTAAAACCCCTTGTGAAGATAATATAAAAGATGGAGAAGATGCAGTCCATTATCAGTCAGAGTTGCCTAAACAAAGTATTTGTAACTTAATAAATGATTATGGTGATATGGCAATTTCAAATGTTTTAAAGAGAATACATTAGTAAGAAGGAATGTGATCATCAAACAACTTTGCTAACATCATTAGCACTTAAAGAAACTAAAAGGGTAACATCAAAAGAAAAAAAAAAAAGATTTTTGCCATTGAATACTTTCAGATGCCAATTCAAAAATAGTTCCATCAAATCATGACAACACATGCATTGAAAGAGAATTTGGTGTTAATAAGAATGTGTATCTAAGAAATTATGGGAGAAAGGAAAAATGGATACCAGGTCAAATTGTTCGATGTACAGGACCTGTGCCTTATAAAGTTAAAAATAACTTGTGCAGATAATAAGTGTGAATCTGTCAATCCCACCAAATCTGATCAGTTCACACCAACTCAGTTTGTTTCACAACCAAGTTCTGTTGATATGAGTGAACCAAGTTGTCTGGAGTCAGAAAATGTAAATTCTGGAGTTAATTATTTAAATCCTAGACCTCCTGAGATAGAGAATCCAAATGGTCAGAACATTGAGTCACCAAATCAAAAGCTACTGAGAAGGTCAAACAGGACAATCAAAGTCCCAAATAAGTTAGACCTATGATTTTAAAGGTCAAAAGGACTTTGACATCATTGTTTTGTATCTTGATTATGTTGTGGCATATTGTGCATTGTTTGTAAGGATGTAATCTACCATAGTGTTCATGTTACAATATAATTGGTGATTTTAGGATAATATCAATTGTTCTATTGAGAGATGTGTTATTGTGTTCTAAGGGTAAAGGGATGTAATAGATTGAAATAATTGTGAGGTCAAGGGAACTCACTCTTCTGTATTAGTATTATATTTATATTGTTATCTTGAGTGATGTCCCTTACATGTTGTTATCTATAAATAGTTCTCTCTCGCCACTTCCTTCTCTCTCTCTTTGCATCATGGCTGTCTGTAAATAAAAGGCTGTTAACACCAATGTGGCTCCTCGTCAATCTATTACAATATGGGTTATTTTTCAATTCATATTGTTGTGTGATATCTTTTTCACGGATTTTTGTCTTTGTCATAAATATTTTTATTATAGAATAAGTTAAGTGAGTAGGCCAATATACAGATGTTTTTCGGGGTGGGGGAGGGGTGACACCATATGTTGCCATACCGAGTGACACCCGACCAAGTGACGCCACTGCGTTGTATTAAATATGTTATACAAAAAGTAAGCGTGAACCCTACTATGCGGCTGCAGTTTCAATACCAGTCGTGACGTTTTAACTCGTTTCGCTCTGTTTCCAATCTGGGCCACGGCCATAGGCCTAACTACTTCGACATTATACTTGATGTTCACGCAGCCACCAATGTACAATATGAACTCCTATTTAAAACCCTTTAGTTATTGACCTAATCTATCCTATTCCTACTTAAATATGTTTATTCAAAATTCTTCCAGCTTTCTGAAATTTCTTTGCAGATTTTTTTTTTAGTTATGAAAAAAGTGCCGAATCATGCCTTATCATCTTTTACCATGGGTAGACAGTTAAGCAAATCGTATTTGAAATTTGGTGCTAGATTCTAAATTTTGAGTCCTGTTATCGTGTTTTGATTAAGTATTTTAAAGTAATTCTTTTGTAATAATAATTATTGTGTTTAATTTTAATAAGGTAGATCTAGGTCTATAACTTAGTCTTGCATATTCATCAGTTTTATTTTTGCCACAAATTTTGGCTTTCTTTAAACGACGAATAGTTTTTTAGTCTATTGTTCGTATACAAACAAACGTTGACTTTGAACTTGAACCGGCACAGCGGTGTAGTATCTAGATCTAGAAACTATAAGGCAGTATAAGGTAAAGCAATACAAATAAAGTAAAAAAAAAATAAATTAAAAAAAATTAAAATAAAGTAAACAATAGATTTAGATCTAGAATCTACTCATTTTTAGATTATCATTTTACTATACCATACTGACTACTGACTATTATAGATTTTCTAGGGCCCACAAGTGATTGTGTTGCACCCATGAAAATTCACCGTTAAGGGCCATTATTACTAAAAAAAATAGGATTAGGCCGGCATAGGTCCTAGGTAAGGTAGGGTACTACGGGTAGCCTAACTACTATACTATAACTAATATACATAATATAATAGTACATAATAAAATATATTAGGCCCAGTTATTAATTAATAATAGGAATAATAGGGCATTAATAGGGGCCTATATTACTAATAGTTAATAGAGTAATATATAGGCCATTAGATTGATATAGGCCTATAGCCTAGTGCTAGTATAGTCTAAGTATAGCCTAATTAATACTATACTGCCTAATTGTCATCTTTAATTTGATGTAAGGCGTAAGGGGTCATCCATAAATGACGTCACACTCGTAGTGGGGAGGGGGGGTGTCCGTAATTTTGTGACAATGAGGGGAGGGGGGGGGGGGTTCAGATGTTGCTACATCACACTTTTGCATTATAAAACAGCAATGTTGGAAAACGAATTTTAGACGTTATTTCGCGTTTTAGATAACTGTTTTAATAAATTGTAATAGTTTAGACAAGATTTTAGAAAAATATTGATATTTTAAAAAAATTCAACCGCAATTTTGAGGGGGTTGTAGGTTGAGGTGTGATGTCCTTTTAGGGTGGGGGGTCTGGCTTTTTGTGACGTCGTGTGACGGAGGGGAGGGGGGGGGGTAAAAATCGTCAAAAAAGCGTGACGTCATTTATGGATGACCCATTAGTGGGACTGTAAGCAATTACTAAATTAATCCTCATTTTTAAAAGACATTAAAAAAATTGTAATAGAAATTTTTTAACAAACTCAATGTGTATAGAGCTTGGCAGGACTAAATGTTATAAATACTTTAGAAAGAGATTGATACTTTGAAAAACCAACACTGACATTTTGAGGTGGTTGTAGGCTGAGATGTGATGTCAATCCAGGAGGGCTGTATGGTTTGTTGTGAAGATCTGTGGTGATTGAGAAGGGGGAAGTAAAAGTCGTCAAATGTAATGTGGTTGTTTATGGATGATCGTCAAATAGAAGGTAGTATCTATTAAAATATTTATATGTAGACTTTTTTTTCTTCAGAAAAACCCAGAGCAGACTTTAAGATGTCTTCATTTGCAGACCAGTATGCTTTGCCAGCAACTTTGACTGTGGCTGGTCTTCATCAGATTGGTAATATTCTCTTTGTTTACAATATGGACTGCTTACATTGCCTACTTTCAAAGCTAAAGCCTGTACAGGCCTATGACTATATATTTTCTTCTAAACACAACTTTCATATATTGTTAGTAAAATGGTGAAGCAACAATTTTTAATACAAATTTATTTCATTTTTTAATAGTGCTATCATTATTCAATTCTCAATTGCTTTGAATTACTTTCTTTGTTAGGCGATTTCTGGTTCTTAATGATATGCTATTGTAACATATTTTAGCTGATGTCACCAAGTTGCTTAACAAACTCCACAGCAACACAATATTTATGGATACAATAACAATAATTTAAGTCATATTATTCATAATACAGCAGATGAAAATATTTTTGGATGTTTACAAACTATTGATAATTAATGCTCTTGTATAATTAGTAAAAGTATGAGTGTACAAATGCTCCTAGTAAAAACATTTAGCCTAGAAACTGCTATTAGTTGAAAAAATAATATGTTTGATTGCTTTAATTCACAGTAAGGTTTACTAAAAAAGTGGGTGAAGCTCGTCATAAGTACAAAATTGAACCCCCAGAAACCACTGGGCCACCAGAATTTATCAGAGTTTTTAGAGCTCAGTAAGTATTCTACAAATCAATGACCTTGTTTTCTTTTACTTTCAGTTCTTATACATAGAAAATGCAGCATCTATTTTCATTTTTCTGTTTTTAATCTCTAAGCACTATGCAATATACTGCATTTTTCATAACTTAATTCCTCAGTGTTGCAAATTTAAAAATATAATAGTTGATATTTCACACCAAAATTTTATTTTATTAAAAATTTATCATAACATTTGTTATAAAGAAATTGTAACTTTGAAAGCCACTTGTGACAATTTTGCTAGTGTATTCTTTTACTAAAGTTAACACACATTACAAATTTATTCTCATCTTACTTTATAATAAATACAGGTGATGTGTATACTTTATTTTTATTTATTTACCAGCCAGAATTCATTGGAGTTCTTCCCCATGTCACTTACAAGTCTGTGGATAGGTTCAGTTTTCTTTCATCCAGGTAATTAATAATTCTTCTTGACAACCTGTACCATTTTCAATGTCTTGTCATCTTGGATTGGTAGAAAAATTACATAATCCTAGCCTCTACTTTTTAGTGTAACTTGTTTTATCTGTTTCAGTACCTGCCTCTGCTTTATATCTGGGCTATTTAATTGGAAGAGAGAAGTTTTTTACTGGATATGTTGAACACCCAGATAAAAGGTATTTTTTAACAAATAGTTTTTTTGCTCTTGCAGTTAACCAATAGATTTTAACTAGCTGTTATTAAAATATATTATAAAATTATAATGTATTGTAATTTAATTAAAATAAGTAAAATCTAGGGATGAGCTTTGAGACATTGTTGTTTCCCTTTTTTTGTTTTAAAATAATTCATTTCTTGTCAAATATCCAGATTCTTCTGTGTTTTTTAAATTTTAATATGTATAAAACTTTATTTTCTAGGCTGACTGGCTTCAAGATCAGCATTCGGTGCCTGCTAGGCCTGTTAATTATCTGTGGTGTGGGCGTTGGCCATAAGCTTGTCAGAAATTATGGCAATATTGATCTGTTTGAAATTATCCATGAGAAAGTCTCCAGTTTAAGACAATAGTTTATCTAAGAGATAAAAAAAAAACCATACTTCAATATGCCTTAGAAATGTAATCACTATATTAAAAAATGTGAATCTAAAAAAAATTGAGAACATGTATTTCTTGGTTTTACAATCAATTAGTGGTGTATTAATATCTGCTAATATGCTAATTTAATTTGTTCAATAGGTTTAAAACTATGCAAGATCTTTTTAAAATATTGTTCAGTAGATACTGATTTTAATCACAAATCAACTATTTGATAACCAGTTTTTAAGGACTGTCATTACATTTTGCCTTTCTACTTTTTTTCAATTGGTTGTGCATTTGTCCAAGTAAAGTATATTTTACTTAGAGATTTCTTGTCATAAAGATTGTAAAATATTGTACCACAATTTTACATATTTTTTGGTACACATTTATTTTAAACCAGGTTATTTAAATAGAACTAAATGTTTTTGTATTTTTATTTACAATAAATTATAAAGTACATGTTCATGCATTAGAGTTATATTTCAATTATTCTATTTAATTATCTTGTTGTTTCCTTTTTTATCTCAAAATTGTCATAATACATGCTTGTTTGATCAAAATGCTTATCTAATTAAATTAATTCCTTAGATTAGGTGTTTTACAGACTAACGTGTTCATTTGAAAGGGAATACCATAACATTATTTTTAATTTACTGAGGCTTTACATAAGAAAATATATTGGTACTTGCTTTTTTCCCCTCCAAGATCAACTTTAACAATCATATGGTATTCTTAACACTTATAAGAATCTACCAAGCTCCTGCATAGAAAAAAAAAGTATGTATTGTATGTGTATTTATGAATACATATTCTCCAGTTAAGTAATTCACTCCCCTTCCTGTTTTCATGTACGTTATACATAATTAACTGCAAGGCTATGAGTATGTATTCTGCATCAATAGATTCACATATGTAGATAATCCGCTCATTGCACCACGCAGTATTAGACAGACCCTACCCCATAGGCAGGGGCATAGCGATGTCGGGTGTCACCCGGTGCGGCACTTAATGGTGTCACCCCCCAGAGGCGTAGCGACTCTTCCCGGATACAATCTTTCAATTTTCGATTTGCATCCCCCCTCTCAAACCTTCGATCTGCACCCCCACCCTCAAATTTCGATTTACACCTCTTAAAAGACAATTTAACACTCGAATTGATCATTTAATTAAGTGGAATTATCATTTTTCTCTATATATTTTGCTATTTTTTGCCTTGGTGTCACCCCCCTAAATGGCGTCGCCCGGTGCGGTCCGCACCCCCGCCCCCCCCCCCCCCCTCGCTACGCCTCTGCCCATAGACCTACTTCGTGTCTTCAATTCATGGTTAACACAAGGAACGCGTAGGGTGCTTAAACAAACCAACTACGTCATCTCCATTTGAAACTTTTATTTTGTGATGGTCCGTGTTTCTTCCAGACTTTTTCTCCCGGGGGGGGGGGGGGGGGGGGGGGGGGAAGACGACGACACTGGTATAAGTATATATTTTCTATATAATTTATATTATAAATATATAAATTTAATACCTGGAAGAAATTCTGGTGATGGTTAACGGTCGTCTCCCCCCCCCCCCATTGGCCGTTGAGACGAGTTAAAAGTCTAAAAATAAACATCCCTCTACAACCCGATAAATATAGGGCCTATTTCATATGCATAAATACAACCCTAGCATTAATGTAGGCCTATGTTTTGAGGTCAGAGTAATAGTTTGAGCTATTCAGTCCATGAGCATACTCTGCAAATGCCTATAAAAGTCTACAATGAGTAAATCAATTAGCGTATCGTTTATTTTTTACCACATGATGCGAGGAAGAGAAGATGGGGTGGAGTTCATTGAAGAGACAATATTTCAACGCAGATATTACAATAGGCCTACATTTTTTCCCCTCTTGACTTGCTAATCAATCTACTGTTAAAATGGGCATCAGTAAAATGATGTTTAGACAGATGGACTTATTAAGCTGATTAGAAAGGGTGACATTTTTTTCTAGCTGAAATATTAAACCAGTCACCTAACAGTTTGCATTTTCAGAAGTCAAAACACTGAAAGGTAAAAATTGTAGGATGCTGATCTAGTAAAAATATTATTAGGCCTATTTGCGTTAAGTTGCGTCTTTAATAATAATTTTGTCTTACTCTTATTATGTTTACCAGTGCAGGTAGGCGTAGATCTTAAAGTTTAAGAACTTAATTCAAACCGAGCACCCGTCAAGATATACACGTTAGGGCAAAACTAATATTATTATTATTACTAATATGTGTATCTCATTAAACTATAGTAACTACTAGAATACCCGTCATCCCTTGGATAACTGTGGGTTTCGGGGGTCATCCATCAAAAAACATCACGTCTGTCACTCAGAGGCATAGCGAGCCTTCCCGGCGCCCGGGGACAAACTTTTCGATTTTAACCCCCCCCCCCCCAAGATTTCGATTTTCAACCCCCCCCCCTCAAACTTTTGATGTGCATCCCCTCCCCCCCCCCCCCCCACTCAAACTTTCGATTTGAACCCCCCTCAACCTTTCAATTTATTTTTCCAAACCATTTTGGCGCCCCAACATACGTCCCCCCGCCCCTCCCCTCCCCCCCCCGCCTCCCCTTCCCCCCCCCCCCCCCCGCCTCCCCCCCCCCCCCCCCCCCCCCCCCCGCCCCCACCCCCCCCCCCCCCCCCCCCCCCCACCTCCTCGCTACGCTACTGCAGTGTCACTTATCGTCACAAAAACAGAGCCCACATTCAAAAATATGTTTCTTATCTTTTAAAAACACCGAAAACACCGATTTCGGACTATCCCTTCATATACTGACGTCACATGTGACCTACTCAACTCTACTTCACCTGCCCAGTGTCCCGCCAAGTCTCAGACAACATGTTTTTATCGTTTAAAAAACGATTCCAGCCGAGCATGTCTCTGACCACACTATCCTTTCATATGGTTAGGACAAAGAAACAGATGAACTCTACTTCACCTGCCCTGTATCCTGCCAAGTTCAGATAGGCAACTTTATCATTAACATCTAAAAAAAAAAATTGAAAAAAAAAATATCATTGACATATTGGTCTAGAACCTGTACCACTCGCATGAGAGCGAACTACGCTACAAACTTAGCTATTTACTCGTGACGTCACAAATGAATTTTTATACTATACTTTGATGCAACTTGATTTCGAGCGTCTAGTCTAGAAGTAGTAACTTTCAAATTAAATTTTATCTTAAATTAGCCAAACAAAGATTTATATAAAATAATTTAGGCCTGAAATAGATTCTAGATGTATTAAGGCCTGAAATAGATTCTAGATGTAGAATTTACATTAAGTCTAGATTTAGAATTTACATTGAGTTTAGTGATCTAGATCTAGGCTAGATTCATAAATTTCCTTCGACAGCTGATCTTTAGATCTAGAGAAATTTATTGTAAAACTAAATGAAAAAAGACAGTTGAAAATTGATATAAGTGTTGGAACGTAATAAATACAGCAAACGGACGTATTGTTAAAGTTATGACCGACAGAAAATTAGATTTAGAACGCGTTAAACTTTGGAATGGGAACACAATTTTCTTCGATAGACGCCGCCATTTTATTGTACTAAAGAGTCAACAAAAACTCTGACGTCACTATCAAGGGACGTCACTATCCCCACAAAGTTTATTCAAAGTATTAACATTTTTTAAAAACTACGGTTAATTTAACAATGAATAAATCAATAAATTAATTAACGTCTTTAAATAAATTTGTGATTAACAGTCTGTCTGCATTAAAAAATTATTCTCTACCTACATACTATTTTACAGCTCTCCAGATAGAGGAGAACATATCAGGATACTTGATCAGGCAAAACAAACAAACAAACAAAAAAACAAAAAAATAAATATTCAAACATGTAAACAAACTTGACTTTTAGTAGTATATAGATAGCATTTAGGCCTACATGACCAAAACAGAAACTATATCTTTGTTATCATTAAAATAGCCTAGAGTTGGCAGGCTATATTCTAGAAATGTGAATAATAATAAAATTCAGTAAAAAAAAAAAATCATAATCTTTTCCCGTTCGTGCTCAAGACACACGGAGCAGCTGAAGTAGAGTCCATCTGTTTTAATTACCTATGCATTCAATGTGATAATGTGGTTGGCACTATGCTCAACCGCCTTTGTTTCCCTAACGTGAGTTAGATACCCATCAGAGCTGGGTTGACTCAGGGACGTTCTACTGATTGAACCCGTATTATTTGAACTCGAGACTTTCGGGTTAGCAGTGATGAACAAAGTTGTAATAATTTAACTTATAGTGACATCTTTTGTTACACGCCCTATTTTTTTAAAACAGTGTTTTTTCCACAAACATGTTAACCATACGGGGGACAATTATTTTTACTTTTTTTAACGCTTCCCTCTTTTTTTAGTTCACTATCAAACACGTGGTATAGAAAGTATAGTGCGCATTTCGCAATGTCATCGTGGATCGATATCTACCAGTGCATTGAATTTTAAGTATTGAATTTACTATTCAGCATTGGAGTTATAATAATTAAAAAAATATTTTGACGCTTTGTAGTTTATTTTACGCTCAATGGGTCGTCTATCTCTTTTAAAAAATATTTCCCCCCTCCTCATATCACAAAAAAAGTCTAGTCGAGAGGATAATAGAGGGTATGGACAACGGTTAAAGTAGGCTATTTTTTTTCTACCTAAATTAGCTTTTAAAAAATTGTCAGGAGGGGGGGGGGGGGGTGGAGCTAGCTACTCACCATAGAGATGCCTGTAGAAACAGCTCGTCAGACTCTGTCACAAGTCCAAACTTTTTCCACGAATAGGGGTTATCCATCAACGACGTCAGGCTCATAGAGGGAGGGGAGAGAGTTCAGAATTATATGACACTTATAAGGGTTGGAGGCAGTAGCGTACGCAGGGGGGGGGGGGGGGAGCATGGGGAGAGCGGCCGCTCCCCCTCTGGCCATTTTCAGCAAAGTGGCGCCTTTTTGGAAACTTTTTAAACTCAAAGTTTTAAACAGTGATATTTGTTAAAAAAATATTTTTGGTCGGCACATCTATGTAAATCACAAGATTTCTTTTCATGCAGCAATTAAGCATTATTGTACTAGTCTAGTAGTGTCTACGTTTACAACACGTATTAACAGCTGCATCAGTTTGCCATTCTAAAAATAACCATTATGATGCATTACAATGTTTAAAAGGCAACTGTATAATGTATATGCTTACGAATAATTGAATTAGAAAATGTTATACATAAAACTTCACACATAATTACTTTATATATACAGTTTGAATCGTGTGATTGATTAAAAAAAAAATTACAATACAGAAACAAATACAGCTGATGTGGCACTTCTATTTAAATTTACTTATGAGCAAACTGCGTAGTGGTGGGGAAATGTTGACAAGGTCAACAACGTCATCACGATGAAGTAGTAGTATTATGACAGTTTGGGCGATAGTGATTACTATTA